AAATTTTACAGCGTTTAGGAAAAAATCAATATTTATACCCCCCCCCCCACATGACAAAAGTAGGGGGTACATAGAAAATAATTAATAACTTTACAAAAACATTATGAATAACCACATTTTTTTCAGAATATATGCACATATATGTCATTAATAACTGGTAAAAAATTGGTGACTATAGGTATGATGGTTGCTATGGAAACAGAATGTGATTGTCAACATTTGCTAATTTGTGTCTATTTTGGGGGGCTCGTTAACGAAAAAATGCTATGTAAGCAAGTTATGCTGCAAAAATAGCATTGATTTAAGGTTTAGAAAATTGCATATATATGTCCTGCATGCATTAAAACTGGAATGATGATTGAGTCTCAATCAGAAATATTTTTAAAAAAAATTTCTATGACCCACCCCCTCTAAATAATCCAAAGTGGGCGTGGCATTTAAGTGAATGATCAAGCCTACTTAACAGTAGATAACTTCAATTGTATAACCAGTATTATCACAATTTCAACAGAATGTAGGATTCTGGTATCAGTTAACAGTTTATATGATTTTGTTCATCCCCCTCAATATTTATAACCCCTCCTTCGTCACCACCACCCCTCCCGCGTGACAAAAGTAGGGGATACCTTGAAAATGATTAATAACTTTACAACAATGCAGCGAATAACCATCAATTTTTCAGACAGGATAAATCTATATGTCATCAGTAATTGAAAAAATTCTTGGTAATTATAGGTATGATAGTTTCTAAACAGGATTTGATCTTCACAACTTGTGAAGATATTGGGAGGGGGGGGGGCTGGTTCACAAAGAATACTATCCTAGCGAATTCTGCTGCAGAATTAGCATTGTTTTAAGGTTTAGAAAACTGCATATGTATGTCCTGCATGCATTAAAATGAAATGATGATTGGGTTTCAATTAGATTTTTTAGATTTCACTATGACCCATCCTTCTTTATAATCCAAAGTGAGTGTGACATTTAACTGTATGATCAAACTTACTTAATAGTTCAACATTTCTACACAATGTAGGCATCAGTTAACTTTTTATCATTTTGTTCATCCCCAAATATTTATGCCACTCCCCTCGTCTTAACATACTAAAAATTACACATGTATATGTCATAAGTAACTGGAAAAAGATTATGGTGATTATAGGTTTGATGGTTGCTATGGAAAAAGGATTCGATTGTCAAACAAAGGACCGCATGTTGTTTGTAGAATGAATCGGGTTAAAAACATCAATACACTTTAAACCATTTTATTGACTATAAAACTGCACCATATAATCCCCAAAAGACATTTCTCTTTTCAAGGATTATCTATGGATTAACACCCAGGTTTTTTATTTTTCAAACTTCAGAGGGCTAGGAATCATTGATTATGATCATATAAATGCTGTTTTAAAATAGGTTTAATGTATGCCAATAATTTCTCAAATCGTGTAAATGGTACCCATTCCTTATTCCCTACAATTTTCTCTTTGAGGAATTCCCATAGCAATCCTATGGTATAGTTCCAAGCAGATTTTGAGATAACAGGAAAGTTAATCATTTATACACACCTCATTGGGTTGTGATATAAACCAAAATAATACATCTCTTCATCACTTCTGATCATCAGAACCATGCCTGCTACAATATAATGTATCTTCTGACATTGCTTAGTGTAGATACAATATTTCCTGGTGTCAAATCCTAGCTAGATGATGGGGAGATGTACCATAAAAGGAGGTCACGGGGTAGGTACAATGCTGTCAAAATCAAAACCTCAACAATACAACCAACAATCAACAGGCACGCAAAGTTCCTTATTGGTATTAAAAAGATTCAGTCACAAACATGTTGTTTATGATGATCAGTGATGAAGATAACAGTTAACGTCCATTTGACAGCTTCACAGGCAACAGTACCGTAAAATTACATACAGTTGTGTATTTTCAACAGTATGTTATGGTACTGTTTGGGCTATGGTACTGTATGGTATGGTAATATATGGTACCAGACTAAAATAGTATTGTACAGTACCATGGACACTGTACACCACCATAATAGAATGGCACTGTACGGTACTATTAATGTACCATGAGTGCAGATTGGTGGTGTTTATCAAGCCATTTGATATCACAGAATCAAGACTCCTATGCATATCATCAGGACTTCCAGCACTTACTCAAGTCAAAAAATCCACCCAGTGTTAGGAGCTATTGCTTCTTAAGAATTTGTTAAATGCCCGTATAAGGATCAATACTAAATCATTTGATGCGCCCAAATCAAGATGAAGAAACACCATTCAGTTTGTAATAAAAACTCATGGAGAGCCATGGAATCATGGAAAGTCCATGAGGACAGATTCTATGGTGCTTAGCAAAAAGCAAATTGCAGTTATCCAGGGAGAAGGGTGTGTCACAACTTACAAAACAGTGAAAGTGTTTGTGGCAACATGTCCTTTTACCAAGTAGCCAAATTTTCAAACACATTTTGTCAATTGGCTGATGTTCCATTCTCTGGTGTTTCAAAGTACAGTGATATATCAATCATGTTCTGATATGTAACTCAGTATTGGACAGTCTTTCCAAACTTTCCATTCTTCATGTCATTCTTAAATGTTTGGTACTTTGTGATAACTCATTGTTTTCAATATCAACTAAGGCTTTAGTTGAAGTAGCAGTAATATAAGTTATTGAATGATTTGAAATGCAATACAGTATATATTCTGCTCAAGAAATTCTGTGTTGGAAAGAGACAAAGTCGAGTGCCAATATATAATATTGAGAGCAGAATATATCCTGTATTGCACCTCAAATCATTCTATAACATTTTTATCGTGTGGTCTTAGGCCAATACATTTTACTCAGAAGGTAATTCCTATGAAATATTCTGTATTGCTACTGAGATTGTCCCCTCCGTCCCAATATTTTTTGTATTGCTAAGGAGATGATCAATAAGGACAATCTCAGTAGCAATAGATTGGTACAGAACAAGAACTGACCAATCAGAGGGCTTCATTTTACAGATCATACGATAAGTAAGCTGAATACTCTCCAGATTCATGGAATTTTGAAATCAACAAGGATTCCAATTCCTCATTCCTGACTTTATGAACTCTGAAGGCCTTGTTGAAGTGTTTTCCACTACCATCAATTGAACTGCAAATATCTAAGATTCTATAAGAATGTCATCGAACCCTTAATCTCATATATTTTCCCACAGCACAGAAGGGTATGGAATGTCCCCAATCTAATGAAAGCATTGCAGTGAAACATTAAAGGATCGGGCAATATTATAGACCTTCTTTTCTGCTGCTAAATCAAAGTTTGTTAATGTCACCTATTTTTATAATCTCATCAAAAATTTATTTGTGAATGACATCCTATCATTATTTCAGTTTTAATATATAAAGGACACAGTTCCTAAACCTTAAAACAATGGTATTTTGCAGCATAATTTACTAGCATCTACACAAATTCACAACAATCAAATCCTGTTTCTATAGAACCATCATCACCAAGAATTATTTCAAATTACTGATGACATATACATTTATTCTGTCTGAAAAATTGGTGGTTATTTGCTGCATTGTTGTAAAGTTATTAATCATTTTCAATGTATCCCCTACGTTTGTCCTGCGGGAGGGGTGGTGGAGGAGGGGGAGGGGTTACAAATATTGAGGAGGGATAGAAAAATCATAGAAAATGTTAACTGATACAAGAATCATACCTTCTGTTGAAATTGTGATAATACTGGCTATACAATTGAAGTTATCTACTGTTAAGTAGGCTTGATCATTCAGTTAAATGCCACGCCCACTTTTGATTATTTAGAGGGGGTGGGTCATAGAAAAAAAATTTAAAAATATTTCTAATTGAGACTTAATCATCATTTCAATTTTAATGCATGCAGGACATATATATGCAATTTTCTAAACCTTAAAACAATGCTATTTTTGCAGTATAACTGGCTAGCATAGGATTTTTTCGTTAACTAGCCCGCCCAAAATAGACACAAATTAGCAAATTTTGACAATCAAATTCTGTTTCCATAGCAACCATCATACCTATAGTCACCAATTTTTTACCAGTTATCAATGACATATATGTGTATATATTCTGAAAAAATTGTGGTTATTCATAATGTTTTTGTAAAGTTATTAATTATTTTCTAAACCGTACTAAACGAAAAAACGCAAATAAGAGAAAGCTTTCACACACATATAAAAAATGAACTAGTCTAATCCGCCAGTATAAACTCTGTGCTATACGTCGCCGGGCCAGGCGCACACTTTAAGTACAGTATTTGAACCCATAGTCCCACCTATAGAATCTGATATTTTAATAATTTTCAATGAGATAAATATGGCTCAGAGAATTGGGCTAACTTGTAGATTATGTACCGCGGCGTGAATTATTTTTGAGCAAATTTTTCTCCCCGTGATGTGATGAATTCTTGGAGTTGGGACCATCCCCTCAAAAAGGTTTTACCACTTCTTTAGATTGCCTATGTGGAAGTTTCATGTTTACACCCCCCCCCGCCCCCCTTTATAAGTCTAGTAACTGGAAGTCCCCCTTTGGAACACTTATGAAAGTCTGTTTATGTTTTGTAATTAGAAATTCAAAAAAGGGTTAATTGCCGAAATATCAAGAAACAAAATTAAGATTTAAAACATTGACACTCTGATATGCTATCCAATGCCAAACTTATGGAGGGGGTGTACATCATTCGTTAAAAATGTCACTCTCAGAATCATCTTGATCCATCAAGGTAATTCATAACTGAAGGAATACACTTGTTTAACAGTATGTCCAGAATGAATTTTGAATTTTGAGGCTACATATGCATTTTAAGATAAAGTATTTTATTTCTAAGACATTTTCCAAATTGAACTTTTCAAGGTTTAAGTGTACTATAAAAGATTTTTTTATCATAACTGTGGATTTTTTTGATATTCACAGATGGGTCTGATATTCCAAGATATGGCCAAATGATATGTTTTATTTTAGTGCTATGCGATGAAAGGTAGGAAAGGAAGAGCAGTGATCATCAACAACCAGAACTTTGATGACACGAGCACTTTGACGAATAGATCAGGTTCTGAACAAGATGCAGAGATCCTCTCTAAATTATTCACAAAACTTGGATACGATGTTCGTAAATATGATAATTTGACTGCATGTGTAAGTTTATAGTGTACAATTTTAATAAACACATTTCTAAAGTGACGAAAACCGCGAACGAAAATAGATCATTACAAGTCACCACTTGCCATTTGTTACAGACGCCGAAAATTGATAAATGACCCTTTCTATTTATTTTCCGTTCTCCATATAATTGCAAAAACAATATTTAGAAATAACAAACGTCATTAACATCTACATATTTCTGATATTAACTCCGTGATCAATAATGAGTTTTGCCTAAATTCATATAGGATATGCAGAAATATTTGAACAACGAGGCTAAGCAAGATTATCATAACTATTGCTGCTCGTTTGTTTGTGCTATTCTAAGCCATGGGGGTGAGGGAAACACAATATATGGAGTGGACGGAGACACAATGAGTGTGAAGGACATCACACTGATTTTTAACAATCAAAATTGTGAATATCTATCTGGTAAACCGAAGATTTTCATCATTCAAGCCTGCCAAGGAAGTAAGTTTTCCAAGTTAAGAATTCTTTACCTTTCGAAAAAGAGCCATTCTGTTGAATTTACATGCACAGGATAGAAGAGTCCTCGATTTCATTCTCTTTTGGTAATTTATTTAGATACAAAAGACACTGGTGCACTCGACAGAAGTGATAGCAGTAACAATATCCTTGAGAGTTTGTCACTTGACACAACGGATGGTTCCATCAGTCCTCTGAAAGGCGGGTGTGAATCATCTCATGGGAGATATTATGTTCCCGATGGCGAAGATTCAGTTGATGGTTCTTATCCGGGACTTGATAGATGCGACAGTGTACCAACTGACTCGGACATCCTGGTGGCCAATTCAACCACTGAAGGTAAACACACGTTGGTAACTTATTTCTTATCGCCAAATAAACTGACTGCATGACGTCTTTGTAGTACAATTGTGACTTTGTGTCTAAATTCTTAGAGGTCGGGAGTGTAGGTTCTTTTAGGCGCTACCAAAATTGAATTCCTGCCTGCGTTAGTCTCTTAAATAACAAGCTATCACTGATCATTATTAGAATTAATTGTCTTATGATTTTTACTTTCATGTTTTTCATGCTTTTAGGGAAGACTTCATGGCGTGTAGGTGGTCGGGGCAGTTGGTTTATACAAGCTGTTGTATATGTGTTTGCTAAAATGGCCCACAATACTGATATCAGTAAACTATTTGTGAAGGTAAATTGCATCATATTCATTTTAGTAACATGAATATTCCCACTCCCTTGGTTACCAATATAACTTCAAACTAAGCATAGAACAAATAAACTTGATGGAATTATATCATATTGAACATATTTGTCATTTGTCAGTTACCATGTCAACAATATATACTTTTATTATATCATTGCTAGAATTTGTGTCCTTTGATTGGCTGATTCAGTACCATGTGATCAAAAATACCAAAGCGTATTTCACAGCTCCCTTAATTTTGGAATTATAAAAGACGTATTGCCCGGCGTATTGCCCGCCCGGGAATTCTGAATCGTCCCGTTTCAGTTGTGACGTGCATCAAAAAGGCAGACTGAAAAAGATTTAAAAGTCTGAATTCCGATGAAAAGAACGACATCTTGACGGATGTGCATCGGAATGACATCTAATGTCTTAGAACATTTTCAAGTGTTATGTGGACGAAATAGACGTTAAATCTATCGATAAAATCGTTCTGGATGGAATTTTAGAGGATTTTTTTGGGAACTGCGAACTTGGGGAATATTACAAGAGTGCCAGTCTGCAAAGTAAGCGAATGTCTAGCAATGATATAATAAAACAAATATTTCATTCTATGTTCGGGCAATACCTGTTACACTTTCAATGATTTTTGCAGCATGTATTTCCCTCGCCCTCCGGGCTGCGGGCAATACATGCTGCAAAAATCATTGAAAGATGAACAGGTATTGCCCTCCATAGAATGAAATATTTGCTTAGTATGTTAAGATTGTTTTGGATACACTTTTCACTCAATCTTTGCACACCGGTGTAAAAGAAATTATGGTCCACTGGGGATTATGGTCCCCTTTCTTAAAGGCCCTTACTGGCCCTGATTGTGGATACGATAATAAGGGAAAGAGTTGTGTTTAGGTCACCATATAAATCAATGGAAAGTAGGACCATACTTTGATAGGACCTCCTACCCTTTTACACCGGTTCTAAAATTTGAAAATAATTCATATAAAAAATATGGCTATCTTTTAGGTTAATGGACTCGTCTCAAGCGCAACAACTAAAACAAATTTCAAACAAGCATCGAAAGTGGAAAATACGCTAAGAAAAGATCTGTATCTCTATCCTGGTATAGGCGAAAGTTACTGCTAGAGTGATTGCGTTGACTCTATTAATACGTCCTTAAAGTGTATCATAAGTTGACGATGCAACTCACTGTTTAAACGTTGTCAAAATGATGGGATACTTCTACTTTTTGTGAAAATATTCTTTGATGTATCGACTTCAGTATCTTTCTTCGAAGTGTAATGACATAGGATTCTCAGCTCCAAAGAAACAATTTGTGAAAGGATCAGCCTCACCACTCAGGACAGTGTTGAAACATAAAATGCTAGGAACAACTAAAATGAGCGAAAGCTATTTATATGCCATCCAGATTATCGTAAAGACTGTCTGTCAACAGAAGGGAAGGGGCATCACGTTGTTATTGATGGAAATCAATCAGACGGACTATTCTTGAAATAAAAAGTTACAGCATTTTGAAAAAAGTGGCGTCTTTTTGGCCCACCCTGTATATAGAGTCCCCCTAAAGATTAATTACTGAATTAATAGTATTAATTTAACTTAAATGCCTAATGCTATAGAAACCAAAATACTAATATTATCAAATGTCTTTGATGCTGTTGATATCTTTTGAGTTTCTAATAACAACCCTATTGCTAATGCAAGTACCTATAAATGCAATCTTAATGAAGTATAAGAATAGTGGATGGTTATATTCAAAGAAATAAAACAACGTTTTTGAAAATAATCTTTGAAATATTAGTTAACTCAAATATTAGTCGCTTTACTTCACAAACAACGTTTTTTAAATTTTTTGTACGCAGATATAGTGACCCAGACATATCTTTACATTCGATTTCAATCATGTAAAAGTACAGGTATTCATTGATTGCAACCAACGTTTTACATATAAATTATCAAACATTTTCTAGCTACATGTAGGCTATATGAATTGATTAACCATGCCTTGTATAATGCCATGCATGCATTTGGCGATTGAAGATAATTTTGTAAATGTAACTATGATGATAATTTATAAATAAATAAATAAAAAATGAACCCTGGCTCTGTAAAGAAAAAATGTTCATTGTCCTTTACCAATCATATCCTTTTTATTTTTCGTTATCATTATCCAAACATTAAGACTTAGAGGTATAATGTATGTATACTTTGACCAATTGGAGAAAATTTCAAATTGAAGAACGATTAACAATAAATAATGAAATTGTCATAGATTTTCAATGGAAAGTGCCATGGAAGTCGTGGACATTTTTATTCATGAGTTTACTTTTATTAAGTCATGATATTCATCCTTTATGATTATACTCACATTTGAGATTGTGGTTCTTTTATGTGACTTGCGCATGTTTACACCATGCGACTTCCTACACAACATGGGATTACCAATTTTCTTTAAAGGGGTTTCAAAACGAAACTGACGAACAGTTTTGTGAAAACCTAAATCATCAAAGGCGACAAATACAATGTCCTGGACTTAAGTTTTAGAGTGTTGCCACTAATACAAAAAGAACATTAAGCTGGGTCCTCTGCATTTTTGAGTGCAGGCTGAGACTAAAAGGTGCAGGTAAGCAAGTGCTTGAAGCAAATTGAAATTATAATTGCCATGCTTTTACCTCTGGGTTATTAAAGGTATTATAAGCCCTTCCCCATTCAAAAACACATTTGAGGTTTGAGGTACACGGTTTCAATTTTAGCGACACTAGGCATTTTGATCTCCCCGGACCCGTGTACGCCAAGTCAAAGATGCAAGGTGCAATGAAGTTGTCATTAGAGCCACCTATAACATATTATATAAGTTAAGGTTCAATACGTCGGCAAAATGACTATGTCAAAAGTGATTCATTATATACAATGCATAACACGTCGATGAAGTTAATGAGAATCTGAATATGAAATTACTATGGCAATTCGAAACAGCATTCCCGTATTTATTGCATTTCCACAGACAGTGTTTTTTCTAATTTACAAGCTGACGACAATATCATACCTTTTTAGTATAGGTATAAGGAAAGGAGTATCTAAATCAAATCCACGAGCATACATATGACAAATTATGGATTATGCTATGGTTTTACGTTGTTTTCAGGGGCTTTATTGTTCTTTTTTGAACCATTTGCATATGCACAAATCAAATATGTACTCTTTTTAAAAATACCTAGGACTTCTTAACATACGTTATTTGGCTGGCCTATAGAATGTTTCAATAAGTTAATGTTTAACATACTCAATAGCTATTGATGACAGACTGGCACCTAGTACCTAGTAAACATACGATGTCACCTCAATGTTTTCGTGTTATCGAGTCTTACGAAAAAAAAGAAAACATGAAATGAACATAACAGCATGCGTCGCATATGTCAACAAATAGATCTAGTTGACGTAACCACTTTTTATGTGTCGACCAAATCTCAAAAGCAATCAAGGGCAACAATGACATAATATATGAACAAATACATCCTGACGTTTTTTACAAGAGAAACATGTTTACTTCACGTGAAACTATTTATGTAATTGAATATATACAATCACGTTTGTTTGTATCTAAAATTAAACATAAATAATTTTCCATTTGATGTTTCATGGTGGTCCCCTGATTACATTGACATTTTAGCTGAGTTAAGTTTGACTGACTCCCCAAAGGTGATCAGGTAAACGGTGGCATTACATGTAGTACCAAATAAAAATTTCAAAAAAGGCCTTTTAGTTAAGCTTTAATGTCCTGTTTAAAGTCCCCGTCTAAAGTTTGAAAATATTTTTTTATCATTCATTTACTATTTGTCAGGACGTAAAAAGTGATTTTAGAGATTTTTGAACAAAAAAAATTTTTGAAAAAAAAGTTGTGAGCATTTCATTTCTCAAATATTCAAATTTCCCGCCATTTTTCAAAAAAAAGTTGAAATTTCTTAATCATCAAATATTTCTTAATGCATTTCAAAAAAGATTATCTTTTTAACACCAATGCAAAGATTGAACAAAAGACACACTATTTCAATAATAAAATGTCATATTTAATGAGCCACTTCAATGTTTTAGCTTTTCAAAAATATTTTGAAACATTAGTGATGTCACTAAGGTAACAAAAACTTTTTGAAAAAAATTGAATTTTTTTTCGATGTCAATCTTTCCTAAATATGCTAGACTTTCATAAAAAACGTTCATTTCTTTTTTATCAACCGTTTTTCTTAATTTTTTCGGCAAAAAACATGGGAGGATGAATGCTACGCATTGGTATGAATTGTGGCTAATTAGAAGATATGAGTGACCTCTAAAAGTTTGTTTTGAATAAATTCACAAATTTTGGAACAAAAAGTCTGTCAAAAACCACTTTTTGAAATTAAAAAAAAAAGTTTCACATATCACACTTTGATAACATTGGATAAGACTACAATATAAGTCAAAGTGGTTTAAACTTTACATGGGGCCTTTAAGGGCCCCTGTTGTAGCTATTGAAAATGGATTCTAGCAATACTCACCAACATGAATCTACTTGTTGAGGCTCGATCAACGAGAAAATGTGGATTTCAGCAAGGAGATAGACGTCCTTGATTTCATCAAGGGTGTCATTGACTTATTAAGGGGATACAAACGATTTCACCCTGCATATCTACAGTACATATGCAGGATGAACTCAATTGCATCCCCATGTTAATCCAATGACACCCTTGCTGAAATCGTCATTTTCTCAGAAGAACTGAAGTTGATTGAGTCTCAACAAGTAGATTCATGTTGATGAGTATTGCTTGAATCCATTTTCAATAGTTCGAATAGGGGTTCTTAAACAGGACATTGTGCTTGCTTTTTAGAACTTTTTGTTGGTACTAATGGCGAAACATTAAGATCATATATAAATTGTTAATCTCTCTTGTCGACATTTAAGTAGAGCCTATAGTATTTTTTGACAGCGTAACTATTTGTATCATGTTAAACTTTAAAAACAGTTTTTAATGAATCAGGTATCGAAACATCAACAGGTGCTTAAAAGAACAGGCAAAATGGATTCCAAACACAAAAAAGTTCTGAACAAGTACAGAGTGAGGTTGCTACAACATCTAAAAATCAGTTCTTCGTTTATCAGTTACCTTCAAGCAGTGGAGATTATGTCAAGGGCCATGAAAGAGGATATCGAGGTATGTTAAGTCTTACAACAGCAAATAAGGCATAAACATACAATATGTCACCGCCTGTCATTTGTTACAGACGCCGAACGCAGAACACAAACCACCAAACGCCGAACACCGTCCACAAAAATGTTAGAGACTTGAACAATATGTCACCACTTTTGGTGATTACATAAAAACGAGTACCTGGCAACGATGTGTTCGGGACAGTACTCTGCAAGTTTCGCTTCAGTGTTATTCATATCCCCACTTACACCAGTCAAATAAAAGAATGAATATGTCTTCCATAAAATAAAGCATTACATCGACCAACCGAAAATGATAGAACTACTTTTCCCAAAACTCTATCTTATATTTAGATTGAACAGAAACGTTCCAAGAAAGCAGCACTGTTTCTTGATTTGTTGGAAAGGAGAGGGGAACGTGCTTTTGATGAATTCTATAATGCGCTCATTCACACTGACCAAGCTGAACTTGCAGATCTCCTGAAGCCAGGCGTAGCAATAGAACGCAGAGCTATACAACAGCAACGTGTTGAAGAGAAGAGTGCTCAATTGGCTGCGATGAGTTATCAGTTGCAACTGAATCCTGCCGTTGTGGATCAATACCAATCAAGCCAATCAAGCCAATATCAATCAAGCCAAAATCCAAAGGGCCAATCTCAGCCAAACGACATAGTTGTTATTTCTAATATGAACTCGATGCGTGGGCAACCGTTGGGCACATCTTCAGATGACGGAAATTGCATAAGTATAACCTCTTTGGTTGAATCAAATCAGTCCTCCTGTCCAATAGAAAATGATGAGAGACCTTTGGACGGTAAGACTACTCATATATTTTAAACATTGACAAAACCGATCTTGTCTTTATATACGTCCGACCTTTAGAAAGAAAATAGTCACTAATGTTAGCAGGATACCTAAACCTTTAAATCATACATCATTCATCCCCTTTATAGAATGGCCAGCCGACGATTGGGCTCCAGTTACAGAAATAGATAAAATGAGGACAAGTCCAGATGATTGGAAAACTCGAATTTCAGGCGGAAATAAGGTTAGTACTTAAATATTTGGGTATAACTTTATTTTATTTATTACAATTCTTGATCTCCCACATATGATAATCTTTTCAGTATTACACAATGATGAAAAGAGGAAGGGCTATTATCATAAACAATGCCAAGTTCAATGGGAAGATGGGTAACAGACCAGACTCCAAAGAGGATGTAAAAAACCTTACCCATCTATTTAGTCATCTTGGATACACCGTTTCACCAACGAAAAAGTGGCAGAATTTAACTGCAGAGGTTTGTCTTTTACATTTACATTTTGTGTACATTAGTAGAAAAGAACATCCTGATTAAGATTTCAGACAAGTTGTATTAGCATTGTTTGATTGCACAAGATATTGTTGAAAAGGCAAGCCTATGTAATTTTAGAACATGCGTTCACAATTGCGTAAAGAGAGCAGACATAACGATCACCAGGATGTTAGTTCATTTGTTTGCGTCATCTTGAGTCATGGGAACAATGGATTGATATACGATGTGGACGGTGCTATTATAACAATTGAAGAAATAAAGACAATGTTCAACAGTAAAAATAGTCCACATCTGGCTGGTAAACCAAAGATCTTCATCATTCAAACCTGCAAGCTCAGTAAGTTCATCACTAAATCTTGCATAAGCCATTAACCATTTTTGTACTGCGTACATACATAGCATGCATTGTAGCTTTTTCACCGATATAAAATAATTGATTATAAACGTTGAACATTCAAAAGTTCTATATAAAGGGGGGGGGGGCAAAAAACAATACCCAAGTTTAAGGATGAATATCATATGATACATATCATATGTGCTATTCACTGCTGATTTCCAAATTGTGGAAAATTGACTCGGTAAAACGTGAACTTTGGCATCTTCAAAAAAGGTACATTTATACAAGTTTAGTGCAAACTTCAATAACAATACTAATATCTTTTAAATTAATTATAAATTGTGTAATACTCTCAAATAAATTTATGATGATTCAGTCAAGCATATTGAGTGCATCTGTACTGCACTATGGAGGGAATTTGGGAATTTTCATTTTTTTTTAAATTTTGGGCGCTCATGGCACCCATGGTGTCATGCCTCCACAATAAAACAAAGATTTTTCAATCGGAAAGTGTCATATTGTTAGGAAATGACTTATCTTTAAAAGGATATATAATACATAAAATGGTTTAGCATATATCATATGAATCATTCATGTTTAAACTTGGGTAATGTTTTTATGGCCCATCCTGTACAATTCTTGATTTTGTTATATGCTTATGTTGGCTTTCCAGCTGCCAATGGTATGGACAATGAGTCTAGCATAGAGTCGAACTTGAGCAGCATGCCAAGCATGTCATTTGACATAAATGATGGTGATCGTAAAGGACTCCAAGGTCCAAACGATGTTAAAGAAGAGTGTGACAGTGTACAAGTCCCCGATGATTCAGATATGATAGTCGTTTCTTCAACGACAGAAGGTATTTTTGTGAATACCATACCACCTTTATTCTAACAGTATGTCAGTAACTGACATTAATCACAAGGAAATACATTAATGCTTATTCAAGAACATCTGTTCTATTTGCATTCAACGAAGTTAACGTTGACACAGAGGACATGATAGAGATATCTAAAATCATCTTAAGTATGACAAACAAAAGGTCACGCATGATGAGAGCCTATGTAGGTAACACAGGTTGCTCTTAGTTATTGACAGTATTTAAACAATCGGGTAATACTGCAAGTTTGTGTTTCAAACAAAATAACAAAGACATGTACATAATATAGATTGGTTTATTTTTATGTTCGATTTCACAATACATAGATTGTAATTTATAATGTGTTAAACTACTCTGTTTAAATACAGGCAAATAAATGATAATAATTATAATAATAATAATAATAATAATAATAATGTCGCTGCTAAAATCTCCACCAAAAAATACAATTTTTCAGACATCGCACAGGCCATCATATGTGAGAAATTCTGCATTTACTTTAATTGACATTTTCAAGTGATATGTTAACCGCAGTACATCTTTCATACAGGTACAGATTCATTTTCTTCTGGCCGCAAAGGCAGTTGGTTCATACAGGCTGTGGTTTATGTGTTCGTGAAGCATGCACACAACACAGAAATAAGAGAGCTCTTCACCAAGGTAACAAAAACTGGTTGAATAAATACTTAAATAATTTTAGTATTTTAATGTACTATTGTAGTAAATCTTCTTATCACATATATTTTGGAGTTACTGTGTCCCATCATCAGCAATAGAGCTTGTCTGGTTCGATCCTTGTTTAGAGTCCTCCAGCATTCTATAACAACCAGAATATACCAAAAACGTGGTGTGGGAAAGTGTCTGCCTCAGCTAAATACATTATTATCGCACTTTCAAAGTGCTATACTGTCGCCGTCCTATGTTCGTTGGCTTGCTTGCGTCGGTGTAGTCTTGTTTTCCACTTTGGCTTAATGCATGTTGTCCTCCTAAGGTACTGCCAGTTACAATTCAATTTTATGGTCGGTGTTCGGCGTTAGGCGGTAGGTGTTCCGCGTCTGTAACAATTGTCAAAAGTGGTGACATTTGCCTGTTAATGCCTTGCATCTTGCAGGAACTTGTCATTGTACATTGCCGCAATCTCATAATAAGTATAACCAATTGATGATTTCATATCAGTTCCATTATGTATTGTAGGTCAACCAACTTATGTTAAAAGAGGGTACAAAGCAAGCCAGGAAACAGCACGCCAGCGATACACCCAAATTGACTTCGCAGATTGATCACACTTTACAGAAGGACCTCTATCTTTATCCTGGATTGAACTCCGATTGATCTGAAACTTTAAAAAAACAATTCCTTCGGGGGACTCATATTCCCACATGCACCATACGCCAAAATTGTGTTATAACTTTATGGTATATATAACGTGACTGAAATCATTGCTAAAACCATTATTTCTCTAAAGTCATCATGTATCCTCCATTGATCCCATATGCGTACACTTCGTCTTCACTGCTTCTAACTTGATCAAGGTGAATATGAAGATGTGTATCTATGAGTTTTCGACACATTTCAATCGCGACACATGACACGATCCATTTTTAGATAAATTCAATTATTTTTGTTCAACATCACCACAGAAAACATATGACTCCTGCTTCAAAAGCTTGCCTACTTTAAAAAAGCTGCCATTTTTGTCTCGCAAAATTTACTTTTAGACCATGTACTAGTTAGCTTACCTCCAGCGATGGGATTTCCCTTTTAAATTGTTTTGGAGCAAAAATGTTTCAATCATGTGTCTTATCTGCAATTAAACACATGAACTTATTGAACGACCTGGTATGTTATATGAATGAAAAAAAGTAAAACATATATGGCAAGAAAAAAGAATACAATTAAAATGTGAAATTATGTATCAACATATTGTTTTAGGATTTTTATCTGGAAATAACATCACCAACTAGAAATGTCATAAAAACAATTTTAGGTATCACAATGCATAACAACTGGTGTAAATTTTCAGAAGACAATAACAGTCGGAGACTATTTGAGATTCGAACAACTTTTATGAGAAATTCAAAATATAATTCATGCTTATTTAAACTCTAAAAATGAATATATATTTTGTCTGTATGGATTGAAACCATCATCAAGAACTTTTGAAAAAAAAACATTTATTTTTATCAATATTTTTGTAAATCCTGCTTACACTCAATTTATTGTATTGTTATTTTACATGTTTTATATTTGTGAATAAAAAAAATAAAAAAATAAATACAGAAAACCCCTCTATGACTGATTTAAAAGCGCCTACTTTCAAAATGGTCGGCACTTTTGTCTCACAAAATTCACTTTCGACCATTTACTAGCTAACATAATATTATATGTTGATAGGATTCCCATTTTAAATTATTTTTGTTCATTTTTACTAACTTTATAAATTGTTGAACATCAATACAAAAATCCTCCCACCCCCAATGATTCCTGATTCAAAAGCTTTATTTTCAAAATGGTCGCCATTTTTGTCTCGCAATATTTACTATCACACCTTTCACTAGCTATTTTTTTTATCTGTCGAAAGGATTCCCTTATGTTATTTTTGTTTAACATCAAAACTGCAGGAACTTCTGCTTCAAAAGCTTGCATATTTTCAAAAGAGCCACCACTTTTGTCGCAAATATTTCACTTTTTGCCCTGTACCATGTGAGCCCAGTGCCCACGTAATATTTTTTTAACAGTAGCAGTTGAACAGTAATAATCTGAAATGCAAAGGTGATGCGAACTTTGATAAATAAGAACACCTTAAAATACTTAATCTTTTTGGCGATCCAATGAAATTGAGAATGTTCCACAAACTAGGACCTCTTGTACCATTCTTAATTTTATCTCAACACACATATTTAGCATTGTACTTTCGCTCTTTACGCATATACACACCTTACATCGGCAAAAGGGGAAAGCTTTTGAAGATCGAAAAGCAAAACTGATTAGGAGAGGACATTTAGCTCGAATTAGACAAGTGTGCGCTGCTCAAACTAAAAATCCCAACAAATAATAAACACAAAAGAGCTCTATAGTTTCGAATGAGAACATAGTAAACCTTGACAAAAAAGGTGGAACAAGTTTCTATTGATCAATCTTGGATCTTAATAATGTTGATGGCCGAAATAAAAATGGAAATCTTAATGAATATCTAAGCACGAGTGCCAAAGGAAATGACCGAAAGTTGTAATGGAACCTAGCGAGAAAAAGCAAACTCTAAGTGCATACCAGTCAAGAAAAACAAACCCTTTATATCCCAAAACCATGATCTAACGTGAAAAGAAACAATGTCTATAATACCCCCTTGCCCCCCACCATTCAAGAACCGATATCACAATCGAAGACCAGAACACCAAGGGACATTTCATTCATACTGAAGTCATTACAATACATGTTGAAGAAATTGATAGCCAATACTCAAAACACCAAAAATAGTTTTAGATACAAGTACTCATACAAGATAGAGCATTCAGTCTCAAATGATGTGGGATAGATAAAACCCAGTCTCCAAGTCCATAGGTCGTCGCCATAATCCATAAAACATGATATAGACATACCCTTGGAACAACCTGTATGCCACTGTATGATATAATAGGCTTAATGCCAGGGACATACGCCCAGGACACCCTGTACCACCACTCTATATATAATCTAATTTACAATTATATAAAGCTTAAGATCCTATTACCGATCAAAAGTAAATCCAAGAAGTATGTTAACAGGTACGTTGCAATGGTAATCCTATACCAGTAACTGTAATATTTTTATTTCGGTTTTACACCATTAATGTTATAATGTGCAATGCGTAATAATTTGTCGGTCAAAAGAATTCTCGAGTTGTTGCTTTTTGTTTGAATAAAGACTTGGAGGAACTGTAACATAAAATGTTAAAAGACAAAGATGTATTGGCATCAGTTGTAAGTTTGTTTGTTTTTATGTTAAATATCTTATTTTTATCTCTAAATAAAAAGTGAAATATATTGCTTTAAATAAAGCCGTGTTGGTTTATTTAAACTTGATTACAATAATTCGATGTTTTTATGCAGCATTTTGAATTTGTTTGTTACCTTAAGCAGTTTGGAATATTTTGTACGGAGTGGATTAAAAAAAATCTTAATGGATGGATCGTTTCAGATTTGTTAACTAAAATGCTGTAAAAGGTGTGCTTGTGTATGAAGTCCATAATGATGTACAACAAACTAAGAAACAATGGTATGTAGCAGCAATGCGTATAATATTCAGGAAAAAGAATCTAGTAAATAAAAGTTATTAGAATATGGCCAAGTTTCGATTGAAGTAACTGTCTAACTTGTTTTTTACTTGCTTGTGCGTATTGATCACTACTGTAATGAGTGTTTTATATCATTGTAGTATGTGTGCTGATTATTGAAGTGCTTGTGTGCCTAGCTACACTGTCAGATTGCTGTTTTTCTTCATTGGCCTCGCAAGAAGAAACACTGGGACACGGTAGGTTAAAATATCAGGTTTGCTTTTGATTAAAGCAAATAGATTGTGCATGGATTAGGTATGTACTTTATTTCATGAAACTTGCTAAATCTTAAATGTGTTCAAATACTACAAAAGATGTCTCCATAATACTTCGAAAATCACCACATTGTTTCTAATGACAAATCATCTCGAACCAAAGAATTGTTAGTTAATCATTCTTCGAAATCATATTTTTAAATGATTTTAATCTAGATGATGATTTGGATTGTTGATGTTACATTTTCCAATACTTTCATTTCATGCTTATTGATATAATCGACTCAAATTGTGTATGATTTACTCCCGGGGCTTTACTATATCATTACTATATGAGCCTGTACATAAACCCAATCTGGGTATTCTATTCCATAATTCTTTTCGTGCATTGCACAATGAGATAATATACGATTCTTTAACACACCTGTTTTTAAATAGCAACACATTTATGACGCTGCGTTCTAGGCTTTTCTGAGATAGTTAAGTGATAGAAAGAAAAGTCCTCTTACATGAGCTACACTACTACCATCTTTATATTGGCATAAAAGCATAACACCGTTTGATGTTAATACAATAGATACAATATAAATTATAATGGACATGTTTGATGAACTCAAATAACCATCTACCTGTTCTATCAGCAAACTACTATGCAGCTGTTGATGTATATGACTCTTTGCAGTTCCTATAACATGCTACAAATGCAAAGGCAATGCCAATGACAGCTCGTGTGCTGACCCAATAATGGAAAGAAAGAATGGGTTACAAATGGATAAGGTTCTGTGTGATTATGGTATGTGTCTCAAATGGACATACATGTCGAAAGGTAAGTAATTGTGAACACTGAAACCTCATTTTGAAAATTAGACATCAGTGTCAGCAGATGGCGTTTAAACTAATTCAACACTTCAAATGTGTTTCATCCAGGCAATATATTTAACAATTATACGGGCAATATACAAGCTATACGTATATCGCATTACAGGGTGACGCCAAAAAACAGAACCCTCCACAAATAAAATAAGTTATATTAATACAATCAGCTTCATTTTTCATGTACAGAAACTACAGTCTATGGATGACAATGTGGCACTAACTTTTTTACATATGATTCAATATTCTTGCTAATTTGCTCACTTTTGACAGAAAAGAAAATGTAAGATTTTCGTCTCAACCAAAGGGTTACACATCGTTTGTTTTAACCAATCACATTATTTTAGTTTTAAGGCACTTTGTTAGTATAGAGGTTGAGATCATTAATGGGGAAGTATCCCAGCAACCTTTAAGCCACCTTTAGGTATGGCTGTACCTTCTGAGTGATGTTTTGAAACTGCGTTCAATGCAATCACATTGCTTTCAGGCACTTTCATTGCTTTCAGGCTTTCAGGATTTCAGATAGGAAAGCCGATCATTTTTTCCATCCAGGTATTTATAAGTTCTCCTTTCTCTCTCTCTTCTCTCTTCCAATTCATTTTCAAACATTTGAATTGTAATACCACATGTTGTACAATGCTCTTGATCAGAATATTGTACAGCGTTTGAGGTGTTCATGCCCAGTGGCCAGAAATTTCTGTCAACCTGATTTTTTCTATAGGTGTTTTACCATTGTTTATTCTTCATTTTTTCAATTAAAATATTAAATGGGACTTTGATTTTACGTCTTGTTTGGAATTTCTTTCTGAATTTCTCATAAAATCTTTGCCAAAATGTTGATTTTTTGAAAATTGAACACATTCTAAGATCATCCATATATCACAAATAATCAATTTACTGAAACAACCTTAATATCATATTATCATCCACAGATTATTATTCATGCACAGAAAAAACTGGGTATATAGGTATTTAAGAAATTATTACACGTTCAGAGGGTTCTGTTTTTTGTGTCACCCTGTATTCCAGATATCTAACTAACTGAGTTTCTGGTATATTGGAATTTTAAACCCATTCCCGATAACAAATATCAATGAATATAAATAACTTCTACACTACTTTTTTATTTTACATATTTATTTTCCACAATTAACAAGTTCAAATCTCCCAGGTTATTATCAAAATTTGCAAAGTCGAAAGACAAGGAGTAATCTGGTCGATTCATTTAAAATATGTGCGCATACATGTACGATTCGAATTCGTCAACAACAAGACTTATTTTAATCAATCAGAGTTCTTTAGATTTTGCCTACCAATACTAATAAGGAGATATGATTTAGCAATCTAAAACCATGAAGCCATTTAATGACATTCCCCACAAAAATTGTAATCGGTAAATCTTATCATAATATGTTTAACTATGCTACCAGATGCTACTAAATCATCGATTCCATTAATCAACTGACCTCATTCCAGGTGAACTGATCATGGAGAGAACCTGTTCATCGAGTGATAATATAGAATTTAGATTAAACTTTTACGAAGTTTGCATTTCTGAGAAGTCTCCAGCTGTTGGAAATTTGTGTATGTGTGGAACTAATTTGTGCAACGGAGGACGGACAATAAATCCCAGGACAATTGAACTATCTTTCCTGGTTATGGGACTTCTGTTTTATAACAGTGCATTAATTAGCCAGTGATTGATCATTGCCATGAGAAACTATCCAAGGAGTATTACATTATCGCTTTTTGCGACCGTTTTATATCAAATCGTTTTTTATTGAAATTGATTTTTTGGTAAACCAATTTATGTCCTCACGTCGTCCTATCTTGTAAAAAGCCACAATAAAAGCATCATACGATTTCAAACGACATTTTATGCAATTATATTATGGTTCGTCAATTTCACGGATAGTCGATATTTTTGGAGAATAGTTAGTTTCGTTTCGCATCTGGATGGATGGAATTCAATTGTCTGTAGACTCTAATCGGATCACTATCAACCGACAGAGCTCCAGAACAAAATTTATAAAACAGAGTTCATCAGTTGAAATATTGTCCATTTATCCCCCAAACCAGCTATAGCTAAGGTTACCATTCCCAAGGGAAATACTTCAATTGCAAAATACATGTATACCAATCCAGCTTGGTTTTCAAAGCTTTTAAGTCATCGAATCTCTTTGAATCCGTTTCATTGGTTTTGGGAGTTAATATTAGAATTGATTATCGCTCCCGGTGTAATTGCAGATGCTGGTAGCCTGGTATATCTGTTCGTAATGAAGACTGCATATATCTTAAATATATGGCATATTTTAGCTGGGGATGGTCTCGGCAAATAATGCAATCAATTTTAGTCAGTCAATTTTTTATCGTTACAGTTATGGCAAATGTATTTATTTTGCCAGAACGTCAATCACTTCTGTAAAGGAGACTGTACTGACTTCATGGCCCACTGGCGGATATGGGGGGGGGCCCAGGGGCCCGGGCCCCCCCCCCCTTGGGTGGGCCCAGAAAAAAAAAATTGTGCCCAAAAAAAATGTTTAGCCTAAAATGGCTTTAAGGCCCCAAAAAGTAGGCCATTTTGGTCATAAATTGGCCTTGTAAGGCCTTATTTGTTAATTTTAGGCCAAATTTTGAAGAAAACGGGCCTCAAAATTTCAAAATTTGGGCCCACTTTTGGGTTTATGGGGCCCAAAATTTTTTTCCGCGCAAGCGCGGACGTTTTTTTCTCAGACCACAAGTTTGTGCCCCCCCCCCCTTGTTGGTTCCCAGATCCGCCCCTGTGGCCCGATCTTGGAGATAGGAATTGTCGTGAATAATATTAAGTTGAAAGCAATGGGTCATCTCTACGGTAAAATAACGAACTTTGTTTTGGGAAAATGCTACTAACCATGAAAAACCATTAGTCTCTAATCCACCAAAATGTCTGAACGCATCATATCAAAAATGACCGGAACGCCACACCATCTTGATAGGGATTTTTCCGAGGCAATAAATAAAGAAACCACAAAGGCATGAAGAAGATGTAAAATGATTGATAGAACCTAATTTAGTTTCTTGCTACTTTTACGGCTGATGAAGCAATGTTACAAAACCAGACACATTTATTCAAAGCTATTTGCACATGTGTTTGTGTGATAGTTAGCATGATCGCATTTGACCGAAACGTCAACTTGATTGATTGGTGTTTCCTTTAAATTTATTCTATTTTCTCCAGTTAAAATATACAATTTTTAATTAGAATCAACAGCGTGCTGTTGTATTGGTTCAGTATATTCAGTGATTGTCTATTATGCCACGGCCCGTGTTTGATAATCAGAATACCACTAACGTTTTTATATATGTGAAATATATAATGGCAATGTTACAAAAGGTATCTTATTCTCATTTGAATGAGAGACCTTAGTTTAGAATTTGTTTTTTCGCAAAAAATGTATTTTCTCCTCCAAATTGCTTGTTCAAAAGGAAGAATAGATAGTTATATGACTTCATGCCAAATATCACTTTGATTCCATACCAATAACAATGTCTAAACAAGATAAGCATTTAATCACTTAAAACAACGTTTTAAAGCGATGGCTCGAAATAAATGAATCTGATGTCGCAGTTCACACATTTTTATAAGTTATAAACATAAGGGATTAAATCATACGTGCTACATGCTATAAGTGCTAAATGCAATATATCTCTATTGGTTGTACACTGATGTATACTGATGGGGCACTCATTGATTTCACAAAGATCAGAATATGAACCAACCTCTACCATTCATTACTCGATCATCTGTTGATTTGTATATTCACCGTTCCACAACTAGTAACTTTGACGGAACGTCAATGTAACAAAATGGATGAACTTCCTGGTTACGAGTTTTTTTTGTTTTGTCGATTTAAACCTACTTGTAAGTCAAGTTGCAGATTATAATTTGGCACAAAGCTAGAAAATATAGTCTAGTTTTGATAAATTTCTTCGATTTGGAATTTGTTTTTTAAATGAAGTTGCAATTCTTATATTTAGCCCCTCGCTTGTGTTACATTGACGAAAATCCGTTATATTACCAATCTATGTTACTTCGACGACCATATGTATGTGCAAGATAACCCTCCACTGATCTCCATACACCCCCAATTTGAATCCACCTGATTTCTTTTTGTATGGCTATTTGAAAGACAATTGCATTCCAAAACAATCCTCAGACAATTGCTGACCTTAAGGAGGCTATCACTGCTAAATGTAATGCTATAATAATAGTCCGGATGTGAAGTGCCATATTTTACGTGAAGGTGGAAATGCTTATTATATGAACTTTTTTTGCATTTTCTGTTTAAACATGATATCCATATTCAGAAACTGTCGGATGCCCAACGGGCACCCTTGAGGAATTTTTTTGGCGGCCATTTTGAATTTTCACACGTTTCATGTATTTTAGCCAGCATATTAAAACAGAAAACTAGCATACACATACACAAATCTTGCTGTTTTTCTATAATAGAGTTTTAATATGATGTATACCAATATGTTAGGTTCCAGAAATGTTTCTTGACAAAAATAAAAAAAATTCAAGATGGCCGCCAACCTTACAATTTATGAAATGTCTCATTCTGTGATAATATCAAATGGATATTAGTGTTTCCTACAAAATTATCAATAAATAATACTAAATACATCTGATTATGATCTCTTTGTCACATATAAAATATCTGAAATGAGTAAAAAGTAACCTACATAATAATAATGATGTTCCACAAGGGTCATTTCTTGGTGCTATATCTATCTTGAATTTATGAATTCTCTTCTTTTACTAAGATTTCATCAAGGATTTCCCTCAATAAATCCTCATCAGTTTCTTCCAATTCCTGTTCAGTTACTGTCTTTGTATGTTGGTTATTGCATTCATTCCCCTTGCAAACACAGAACAATGTACATGATAAAGATGCCTTGGAGCATGAACATTGCCCAGTTCTACATACATTGCCCTCTGATGCACATGTGCACTTAATGAGCTGGAGAATCCCTTCAGGGGCACAGGGTGTATCCTTGGGCATTGTTGTTGGGACAATTGAGCCTGTGCTGTTAATTTCCCAACCATAATCTGTCGGAAGGATAAGTGGGGGGTCAGGCATATCAGCATTTTTCCATACAGCTACTTGGAAATGAGCTCGCTTCACATGCTGGAAAAATGCTTCTGTTGTTTGTGGGAGGGATTTTAGCTTTGGTGCATTTGTAATGCGTTTTGCAGCAATTTATTTGCCCATACAGCATATCTCACATCAGACATTTTGTCTGTGACTTTAGGTGTAATTCCATAACATCTAGAAACAAATTCTGTTGAAGTTTTCTCAACTTCAGTCATGTCTGCATTGACATCTCCCAAGTTAGTGAATGAGTATCTATTTAACACCTACAGGACTGTTAGCTTGCCAATTCCATGCATGCAAGATGTTGTATCACTGCCAGAGAGACCATGCGCAGCTAACAAGTTTGGGATTTTTAATTTGTGTTCATTTACGGTTACATTTATGTTAATGTTTGCTCGGCCAGATGATGTTCCCTCCATTATGATGTTATTTTCCATTAACTTGTGCTTGAGACAGTGATGAAGAAGTAGAAGGAAAACATCAGTATCATCACTGAGTACACTGCTATTCTGTTGGCCTTTACTGGCAGCATGCAGAACCTGGTGTACGATAACAACATCTGCTTCTTCTTGAGTGTTCCTTAAGTCATCACATTGGTCAATATTGCTTTTGTGAATTTGTACAGGTGTTGGATCAGGACCTGTGATAACAAGGATGTTGGAGAATGATCCTTCACTAGCTTTTTGAGTGAGATGGTCGATGACACATTTTATCAACTGGACCTTGTTCTCAGTCACATTCAGAACAACATTCTGTGCAGGGAGAGGTGTGTCAGAGCTGAACTTATACACTCTCCTGGCTGATTGAGCTCGAGATGACCTGGTGCTGTTCTTTATGCTATTGTCTTTATATCTGTCAAAGATAAGGTATACATCTGATTTGGTTAGGAGTCTCAGGATGTACTTAGTGAAAGCAATACAGAAGTTTTCAATTTTGCCAGCCATCGGCCATGTTATGATCCAAAGGATGGCACACCCATCAACGACACGTACATTGCAATTGTTTCCTCTTGAGGTCTCCTCAATCTGTAACTTTTGTTTCAGTGTTGATTTTGAAGTTGTGATATTAATTTCTCCATATTCATCAAATAGTGATAATGGAGGGAACATCATCTGGCAGAGCAAACATTAACATTAATGCAACTGTAAATGAACACAAATTAAAAATCCCAAACTTGTTAGCTGCGCATGGTCTCTCTGGCAGTGATACAACATCTTGCATGCATGGAATTTGCAAGCTAACAGTCCTGAAGGTGTTAAATAGATACTCACTCACTAACTTGGGAGATGTCAATGCAGACATGACTGAAGTTGAGAAAACTTGAACAGAATTTGTATCTACTATAGATGTTATGGAATTACACCTAAAGTCACAGACAAAATATCTGATGTGAGATATGCTGTATGGGCAAATAAAATGCTGCAAAACACATTACAAATGCACCAAAGCTAAAATCCCGACCAACAACAGAAGCATTTTCCCAGCATGTGAAGCGAGCTCATTTCCAAGTAGCTATATGGAAAAATGCTGATATGCCTGACCCCCCACTTATCCTTCCAACAGATTATGGTTAGGAAATTAATAGCACGGGCTCACTTGTCCCAACAACAATGCCCAAGGATACACCCTGTGCCCCTGAAGGAATTCTCAAGCTCATTAAGTGCACATGTGCATCGGAGGGCAAGGTATGTAGAACTGGGCGATGTTCATGCTCGAAGGCATCTTTATCATGTACATTGTTCTGTGTTTGCAAGGGGAATGAATGCAATAACCAACATACAAAGACAGTAACTGAACAGGAATTGGAAGAAACTGATGAGGATTTATTGAGGGAAATCCTTGATGAAATCTTAGTAAAAGAAGAGAATTCATAAATTCAAGATATAAATAGCACCAAGAAATGACCCTTGTGGAACATCATTATTATCATGTAGGTTACTTTTTACTCATTTCAGATATTTTATATGTGAGAAAGAGATCATAATCAGATGTATTTAGTATTATTTATTGATAATTTTGTAGGAAACACTAATATCCATTTGATATTATCACAGAATGAGACATTTCATAAATTGTAAGGTTGGCGGCCATCTTGAATTTTTTTTTATTTTTGTCAAGAAACATTTCTGGAACCTAACATATTGGTATACATCATATTAAAACTCTATTATAGAAAAAACAGCAAGATATGTTTATGTGTATGCTAGTTTTCTGTTCTAATATGCTGGTTAAAATACATAAAACGTGTGAAAATTCAAAATGGCCGCCAAAAAAATTCCTCAAGGATGCCCGTTGGGCATCCGACAGTTTCTGAATATGGATATCATGTTTAAACAGAAAATGCAAAAAAAGTTCATATAATAAGCATTTCCACCTCTACTGGCTCTACATCCAGACTATAAGGGTTGAATGGGATAAGGGTAATTGATAATTTTGCCATATGAATCCAGCTCTGCCTTTTGCTCAAGTGTGGCCATTTGGAGCATGTAATGTAAATGATCACAGTTCCTGAACCGATTGACTGGTTATATTGAAACTTTCAGGAAACAAATTTCCATAGAACTGTGCTGGTGTGTGCACATTTTCATTGATGTCACTTGTCTAGTTTAGGATATATTGCCTACTTCAATGGTCTCCTTTTTTCCGGTCACCCTGTAGATGATTTTGAAAACAATTGAAGTCAGTCTATGCAGTATTTGTTAAATTGTTGGAAGTTGTAAGAATTTGTTACAGACGCCGACCACCGATTGCCAACCGCCAACCACCAACCTCTGACCGTCGACCGCCGTCAAAAAACGGAGACCATAACAATATGTCACCACTTTTTGATGGTGACATAACAAGGCTATATTGTCTAACTTTGTGCCAAATGATAATGACTTAATGACGTAACATGACTTATACGTAAGTTTAAATCGAGAAAACAAAAAACTCATATCCAGGAAGTTCATCCATTTTGTTACATTGACGTTCCGTAACTAGTAGTGGAACAGTGATATTGAGCACTTCGTTGATTTATTAATGTGCAGTTGTTGTCACGAAGCCAATGTTGTAACAATACATTCATATATCAGGCATTAATGAACTGTCTTGTATCGTGGATAGGTACGATCCTCTTGGGGCTAGTTAGAAGGTAAACCCATGATATATAAAGAGAATATACGATCTGGCTGTATATTACGATTCGGGGTTTATCGAACGAACGCATACAACTCGGTTAGTATATCGAGTGTTTTAAAGATCAATCTTTCGGTTCTCAATTTACTACCATAACCGTTTTACGGATCTGATTAGTAGGGATATTTTCTCGTAGGCTTCTGTCATTCGTTTTAATGTGTGGATCGGTTAGATAACCTGTGTGGGTTCTCACATAGGCTAACGACATTTAAATGCCTTTGGGACCTATCATACTACAATCACTGGATTATTTTACGATTTCATTATTCGCTGGTAACCCAAAGGAGACAACTTGTGACTTTTAAGAGGCTTAATGTGTAAGGATATGTGGAAATTATTTTCTAGATTTGACAAATTTCGCGTTAGATCTGTGAAAAGTGTATGTAATCATCAGATCTACACATTCTCCATCAGTTGTATGCGGAGCGGACCGTGAATGGAATCCTTACTGACTTTTCCCATGCAATACATCCATCTGACGTTGATCCTCGGGAGATCCCAAATGGTCCCACAGGTGAATCGATACAATATTCAGTCGGTATATCGACTTACTTGGTCTTTTTAAATTAGGCACGAAATGCAGGCTGCAATTAATTCTATTGTTGGAGTATAAAGCGTCTTCAATAATTAATCGTATTAGGCGGAATAAGGTGTAGAACATAGCCAATCAAATACATCCTGCCGGTTCAAGACAGACGTACTACTACATACATCAGATGGAAGGATCAGTTTGATCAGTTTTGTTAAAGCCACTGAATCAAGGTATACTCCATATGGATCTTAAGTGAAGAGTCGGAAGACTAATAGTGTTCTTAACAGGTAGATTAGAAATTACCATCGAGACATCATCTGCGTCTGAACGGCTTTCTACAAAAAGCCATCAGTATAATAACGGTCTACCTGGCTAGATAACCTAGATAGATACAAGAAGAAATTGCTCCAACATTATGCCCTTTAAGTTGAGGAGGAGGAGGTTTATATCGTGCTTCTATAAGCTAGTTCCGAGCCAACCCAGGTAGGCTGATAATTACAGCACATTTTTACTCGACACAGGTATCATCGAAACCCAGTTTCGGATTTCTAAACGCTGCCAATAAAACTTCCAACGGCTTCTTAGGCGAAGGTTATTTATACATTCACAAGAGGAACGAAGGTAGATACCAATCAGCTGGTTTGTGGAAAAAAGAATGTAGCAAATCATATCATGTTGTTGGTGCATAAGTTCTCAGCCACGCCAATATCTCGGATATACGATGGGGTTTGCTGCTGTTTGGATATGACACATTGGTTCCACATCACAAGTTTAGGTAAGGCTTAACATATAGCGCATATCTTTTAGCACGAACTACTCCATCAGTTACACGGTCTAAATAGAGCTTGCCCGCATTACATATATTTCACCCTGGTAGAAAAGCAAACCCCAGACCTAATTTTATATCCTGCCATGCAATGCTTTCCAAACTAACACACAGATCAATATTGGATAGGTTTCTTTGAATATTTTCTCTTTGTGGAATCAATATATTGACAATAAATATGCATTTGCCAATATGTAATAACAAACTATATTCTCTGTGTGGATTAACTATTTTCTAAGAGTTAAGTAGAGTTCTAAATGATTCGAACTTGGAAATCAGAAGTACTGCGTTTATTGAAAATAGATCATTAGAAAATGAAGTATAATTTATCTACACTATTTGAAAGCACTCTTTGCAGAAATGGTAAAGTTCTGCCAATATTGTTATATACTGTTTCTGTTAATGCTGAGTGTCTGCTATACATTATCTGCATACCTGATATGCTTACCTGAGCCATTATTATTCAATTTTAGCATTTATGTAGATCAATACGGAATTCTGGATGATGGTTCTCTACTGTGTATTTACCGGGCCAATAGTCTTAGTTTATGTATTACTTAGGTAGTTCCAATATTGACCACTTAGCCGTATTATCAGAATTGTAGGTAGAACTCAACAATAATACAAACGATCGTTTCATCCGGCCACTAGCATGCACTACAAACATGGCAGTACACATAACTGACGTTCTGCTGTATCTATCTCAGCTCTAATCAAATTAGTTTTAACCTTATACCACGCGTTAACGTAACACTGAACGACAACATAGTTGCTATTTCCAAGATAGATTTTTCAATTTCGATAGATAGGAGATTAATTATAGATATTCATGCTTCGTGATTTCCATGCTTTGAAGATTTTACAATTAGTTAGGTAGACCGCGTTTGGTATTGGTCGATATCTGGAGTTATTAACTACCAACATATGAAATGACTGAGACAGCCATCGGGTTTATTTCATAATTCTAACTATGAAATTGTTATAGACGTAGAACCAAATAACTTCATAAGAAGATCGATTAGACTTGTATTCATTCCCTTATTCCTGAATTGGGTTCCGTCGTGTTATTTTAAACTCAGATTATAATAAGTATGATATCAATGATGAGAATGGAATGTATCTTTAGTTATCGATATTCGTTAATTAAACATATTTGTTTCTGGCATTAATACACTTATACGGATAATCAACTCTATTAATTTGCCTTAATCTCCCAATATGGTCAGTTGTACTTTTTCATCTCTTTTTGGTTTTCTAAATAGTTGAACGTCATCTTTATCATGTTTGGCGTTTTTAAAGCCATTGATTTATTTTATTATTCAAACCCAAACAAGTTGTATAGCTGTATATCAGTAGTTTGTTATATGTCACCACCAAGAGCATTCTCAGTTATGTGTATCGTCATCGTGATATCCATTTGAAGTTGTTCCTGTTTTTTTTTGTCTGTAGAACTCTTAAAGTAATCATTGCTAATGGATACGTGTATAGTTTTCGAAGGCAATGTTAATCTTTCACCAAGAACAAAGGAAGCGCCTCTCTGGCTTCCTTCATTCATTGTGAACACATTCAGCGTTGATCGCAAGTTGGAAGAAGTTGGAACCGTGTGCATTTCAATATTTTGATTTCACATTCCATCTAGGCCTTATATTATGGAATTGGGCCATGCCGTACGAAACTTGTGGAGAAAGGCATGTATTTAATGTTGCCTAGTTTCGGAGTATGGACTTGCCCGCATCGCAAAACCCAAGTCCCTCTCTCCCGAACGTTCCAAAGAGGCCACGCAAGCGGCAGGTAAGAGAGGGTCTGGTAAATGACTTGCCCGAGCCGTAACATTTCAGTGCCTTTTCAAAAAACATCTCTCAGTTATAAATAGCTGTTGAGAAATACTGAACGATATAAATAACTTGAAACATCCAGGTCCATGGGATGTTTATTTTCCCGACCTTCATATGGGCTTCGTTTAGATAGAGAGTAGTTGTTATTCCGTACGAAATCAGTTCATTCGTAAATGCAAACGTATGTTACTGATGTTAAGCGTCTTATTCGAGTCCATCCACATGGGAAATGTATCTGAACTTATCTTGTTCCTCTGTGTATCTCTTGGATCCTCTTTGAATTGCTATCAGTTGTTTTTCGGCACGGAAGTTGGGTTTAGTATTAAAAGAAACATTGAGTTCTGGAATATCTTAGTTTCCTCGTCGTGGAGAAAATGTAGGCCTAATGTGGTGAGTTGGATTGTGAAGTGATGGGAACCGGGCTAGTGGAAGGAACACTTGAATTGAGTGTTATAAAATTAAGGTCTACTACGAGCCCTTTTTGCCAATTCCTTGAAGAGCGAAGGAAATGTATCGAGAAAACATGGGAAATAATTTAATTATCAGGGAAGGAAACGATTGCATAATCAGTCCTTTCTGATATCACTCAAGTTTCATACTCCCATGTGTGGAATTATTACGTAAACGGATTCAACCATTCTAACCTGCAGTCTAGTGAAACGGTGGTGGATAACACTGACAAGGCGGCTGGCGGGCATAACTCAATGCTTACATTCACAGAAGTTTTTATACCTGACATTTACAAATCTACCTTCGTGTTTACACTTTTGAAAATATTACACACATACTATCGAGAATCTTCTCTTACCCTAGAAGCAATCTGGATTTCTAATACACAATATTTTAGTTTGGTATTTAATATGAAGAAATTGTATTCATATACTTAGCTTATTCTGATGCTCATCAGATGATGAACAAGACACACAGTCATAATCAAGCCTTGAAGAGCAAAATGGTCACCGTGTCATTCAGCCAACATACCCAAAACCTAATCATATATTTACACTAGTCTGCTCTTGCATCTATTAAAATTTCAAGATTGCATCTGTAAATATTTCAAGTTGAACAGGTTTTCCTGGATTTTTTGATGACAAGAATCGATCTTTTGTCCCAACTTTGATAAACTTAGATAACATCGTTTGTGACCTAGTTTGATGACCTTGACCTTCGACCTTGACATTTTCTATTTTCAGACCTCGGTGGGTATTTTGTAATTTAGTTGACCTTTTCCAAAGTTGAACAGGTTAGCGGTTTTCTTGGAATTATTTTGATGAGTTGATTTGTAGTCTCGAATAACTCCATTATGGTTATACCTTACGATTGTGATCATTAATAGTAAAAACTAAAACGGGACCTTTAAACATTGCTCCCTGTAAAACATACATACGGTACATACAAATGTATCATGAACTAGGTTTCTTGAGAACTTTTAGATGATTCAAAATGCCCGATTTATCAAAATGGCCGCCATGTAACAAAGCCAGCATACTCAAAAGCTGTAACTGTAAAACTCCATTGTGGTTATACCTTACGGTTATGATCATCAATAGTAAAAACTAAAATGGAACCTTCAAAGATTTTAAACATTGTTCCCTGTAAAATATAGGCCTATAGTAAGATAGTAAGTACTCTGGTACATATCACGAACTAGATTTCGTTAGGTTCGGGCCTTTTTCCTTTGTGCCATATGGCCGTGAATTGGACTATCCTAATACACGACAAAATATTCTACTTTGAGAAAAATGGAATTGATTTTCCTTACTGTTCCAGAGAAAGCACCACTGTCCTAATCGACTGACTGAATACTGAATAGTTAAAGCATTTGTCTTGAGTGTAACAGAGAGCATTTTGGCAATGCAACATTTTTAGTATTAGAAGTGCTCAAATTAAAAGCGGTTTAGATTGAGAGAATAATTCACAAATAGTTATTCAAAAATGATATCACATATAGTTTTTGACTAACCACCCATGCAGAAGTCATGGAAGTCGAGAACTACTCTAATTTGAGCTTAAAACCCTCTTCTGTAGTAATTACATTTGGTCTTGAATTGAGCAGTAGCACAGTGCTATTTCTAAATACTTCAATTTGTAACGAAAATAACCCAGAGAGCTTGTCAAAGCAATATGTCTGGATGATTTTTTTCATGAAACGAACAGAAATGTGTTGCTATTTGTTTTCAAGTAATGCTCAATTTTCTTATATCCTTTAGCGTCATGAAATTTTCAAACTTGAACCAATTCAAATATTTTGAGCATGTCGTTTTTAATTATAACCCTTTAAAAATATCTTAATATGCATTTTTTGTTTAGCCTTGGTTGTATTACACGAAACATGAAGATAAATCCTCTACTGAGGGGAAAACAATTACACAGCTATAGCCAGGGGTATCATTGAAGAACATGACCAATTAAAAACTTGCTAGTCAATTATCATAAGGATTACCGAGTCAAATAATGGCACCTGCTCGTGGATAGTGTAGCCGATTTGGGATTTTCTTTCTGAATGCCAAAAACTCCTTGTTGTAATTAAATTGCGTTTTAGATTAAGCTTTTTTCCATTAGCAAAGAGTGATGAGAATTTTAGATGGTTAGATTGGATTGATCGGTGGAATGGAATATGACATCTCGGTGGGATTACGTAGGTCAGATCCAGAGCCCATTGTAATGTAATGTATACTTACTTCAAAGCTACTTGCCTTGGGTCAGATAAATGTTGCTATAAAGTACTATACATTATCCAATGCCCAGTAGTGTTTTAGGGAGGCAAGCTGATGAGATAATCTGTATCCTAATGTTATGGTTCCCATATCCAGAACATCCATATCTCCCCCTCCTGGGCATATCTTCTCACTTCCGGCCAAAAAATCTTTTTTTTAAATTAAGAATTTTTTTAACAATTGTGAAACAAATAGTTACTGGGTATATGATTAAGCAGTTGTGTACTGGGAGGTTTTGGATATAGGGTTTATCTAGAGGGATGCATATCTACCTCATTGATATTGACATATTAGTCAATATTTAGAAACACTTACAATAACTCCACCATCACACACTATCTGGAATCACATATTAACTATTGCACCAATTAGTAAATATTTGAAATCACATACGCCT